CCTGTGGTACGCACAATGCAGCCGAATACTGCCACTACTACTACCCATGCCCTTGTCGGTATCCTAGTACCCCCAAGCCTCGATGGATGGCCAATATCTGCTGCCAAAACACTACGGAAGCGGGCAAGTGAACGGTCTCACTCGATGGACCCGCTTCCCTATCTCGGCCCCGATCCTTCCGCACCCCCTCTCCTTCTCGTATTCGATCCTCCTGAGACAGTCCAATAGCCTTGTCGCCCCTAATACAACTCGCATCACCTCCACGCCAGATAAAGATCGTAATAGACTTCCATCAAGACTGCTCCTCCGACTGCCTCCAGCCCCTGCAAGCTCCACTGAACTGTCTAGACTATCGCCCGAGCCCACGGTCAGCGAAGCGCTTCGCAACGGTCCTAAGCAACGGTAATGATAACCACGGTACTTCCTAGATCGGCCCATCGTACTGTTGAATAGCCCACCCTTGATACTATCAGAGCTGCTGTCCTTAGCCCCACGTCTGGCCACCCTACTGCCCTTCAAACATGACTTCACTGGCAGCACTGCTGACAGCCTCTGAGCCCGCGGTGGGTTACCCGGTACTTCTAGGCGCCCTATAGTAGCACAGTAGACAATCCATCACAAGATAACTCCATCACCTTTATCATCTTCCCCATCGTCGCTCCAATCGATGCTACGTCTCATCACCCCGTTCACAGAGTTACTATTGCGGGACGGCCTAAACTCGATACGGTTTCAAGATCTATGGATATTCCCGATGCCTCTCACCACGAGAGACCAACTGGTGGCCATATAAACCCTCATTATTACTTCAGTTCCGTCTCGCTCCGGATCGATAGATCCGCTAAAGGACCCATTTGGCTGTTCATAAACGTATTCCGCAGCAGGTACTCTTCGGAGTCCAGCTGGGGCGTTACCGAAGACACTGCAAAATACGTTTACCCCCGTGTCATTCGAAATGAGCGCTGCTGATATGTTTCGTGTAAAACACAGTGACGAGTCCGATAATGCCCACCTCCCTACAACTCCAGTCGCCCGATAGTTTCATCTTCTGATGGGACATGAGCCTTCGCTCAAACGCTTGGAGCTGCTCAAGATGGCTAGGCCTCAAAGTGACATCTGGTCTGCGGGACTGTAGGAACTCAAGCGTCTTCCGCATACCCCAACGGTATCTACATCGCACCATCCATCGGTCTCCACAACTGAACCCAAACACAGTGGGCCCACTTCCGCATAAGATAAGCACACAAGACTGTACACGATCTCCCCTGGCCGCGTTCACTATGGATAAGGACCTATACCATGACTACAGTGTTATTGTCCGGTGTGCTATACTAACTCCTACCGACTCTGCATTGTCCAAAGCCTCATCGATAAAAGCAGTGACTTCGTCGACCACCACATCCCGAGCGTCTAGAACTACCTTGGAAAAATGGCCTGTTACGGTAGAAGTTGAATGTTCCATACTACTACTTGGGAGTCATTATCGAGCCAGTAATAAGTGAGATAGACCACTCCTATAGGCTCCCAGTGGTTTGGTATCTGGATACTTACTTTCCAAATACCTGTCACTGACATTAAGTACTTGTCGACCACAACAATTCACAACATGCGTGACCTTGTTAGTAACAACGAATTCTAATTCCTGAAATGAAGTCCCTACTTTGGTCCGAGACAAGTTCAGTGCATCACCTGAGCAGCCATCTCGTCTCCTATGAAGAGCCCATCCTTCACTTTGACAGCACCCACTATCTCCCATGCTCCTTGTTGGACTTGATCATCCGTAGATCCCCCAAACGGTGGGGCTGCGGTCATTAAATTCAACGTCAACCAATCTAATAGTCTAACATAATAATTGCGCCGATAAGATATGGCGGGCGAAAAAGTTAAGAGAAAAGGCCTCTCCAGGGATCGAACCTTCGACTGTCAAAGACTTCGGAAACGCGAACGGTAGAGGTGCAATCGTCCTCGCGCGCCATGAAAATCCCTGAGTCGACAAATTCCCCCAACCACATGTAAATTCCCCTTTCTACTCCCATTTCCTTCCGAAGGTAGATATTGGTCGGATGAAGCCGGACGAGGAGCGCTATCCAATCACATTATGAAGCGAAATACCGAATTCCTACCTAAACTACCGCGAGGTCTGTCACGAATGTACATACACGCTGTGCATTCCAAGCTTACAGGTGTGTGTGTCAGTTTTGAGTCCGACGCCGTCGCCGGCTTGGTTAGACTTTATGACGCCGATATGCTAGCCATTTGATGAGCTCTTTGTTACGTTATTCAGTTTACCCGAAGCGCTGCTAGAACGAACAGCAGGAGCAGACTAGCCCATCTCATTCCCTCCTAGCAGGATCCACTCTTCACCGCGGGGCTGTGTCCAACGACCGAAACCCTACAGTCTACAGGTATCATGCTAATAGAGCAACGATTTTCAACGACGATCAGTGAATCCTTCACTACTTAACATGATATAACTCAACAACATGGGAGTCAGAGAGAGCGCGGATGATTCCCCCGCAACAATCCATAATAGAAAATAGACATAGCAACAAAATTATCCTATGGATGCTGAAGAGATTTACATCAGTGCAACACCCTTGGAAGCGCCAATACGCGTGGCACCAGCGGCAACGAGATCATCCATCTCCTGCTTGGTGTGGATACCACCAGCGGCCTTCACGCCGCACTTGGAACCAACAGTCTCACGCATAAGCTTCACATGGTGAACAGTAGCACCATATTTGCTGAAGCCCGTACTGGTCTTCACGAAGTCGGCACCAGCAGCAACGCAAACCTTGCAAGCCTTGACAACTTCCTCGTCAGTCAAAAGGCAGCACTCAAGGATAACCTTCACGACAACACCATCGGTTTCGGTGTTGGCCTTCTGGTTAGCCAAATAAGCGCGGACAGAATGGACAACGCTGTAGACATCATCCTCAACCTTATCCCAAGAGTCGCTCTTGATGTAGCCAATGTTAATGACCATATCAACCTCCTTAGCGCCGTCCTTGACAGCCTGGACAGCCTCGAGAGATTTAGCAGCAGTCGAAGTAGCACCAAGAGGGAATCCGACAACAGTGCACACTCTAACATCGGTGTCCTTGAGAAGGTCGTAAGCGAGAGGCACCCAACAAGCATTGATGCAGACACTGGCGAAGTCATACTGCTTGGCCTCAGCGCACAACTTGCGGATCTTCTCCTCAGTGGCATCAGCAGCAAGCTGAGTATGATCGATAAACTTATTCCTCTTCTCAGGGGCCTTGTCACTAGCATAAGCGTTAGGGCAAGTGAAAGCGGGAGGGACAGGAGTCATACCCTTGAAGAATGGAACGGGGAAGGACATTTCGAATGAAACAGGCAAGTTATAAATCCAAAGCTGAACCATCCTCTCTAATGACTATAAGACACTGGAATCACGACTTCCATTTCTATGAGATACTTGTTGATGCTGCAGCTGATACTAAGAGGATACCACAGCGCTAAGCTTTAGCCATTCAGAGACAGAGCAGTGTATCAAGCTTCGCTCAAGTCGATCAAATAGTGTATGAATAATCTTCGAGATGAACACCATCACTAACCTCGTACGACATACGGTCCTCCCACACGACGAATGTTTGTTTAACATCTTATCGAGAGGTTCAGCTGTAGGAACGCAGTCGAATACCAGAGACGAAAATGCCCATGAAATGTGAGACCCACGAAATGTCGGGACACGGCCTTGATTACACATGCTACTGAACATCACATCAGATAAACATCTCCGACAATTTGCTATCCTCGTGATCTTTATACCTCCACAGTAATAGTATAATAATATCCTTTATAAATCTATTACTAATAATAAATGAGGTATTAAATATGTATAATATGATATATTAATTATACCAAAGAAGATGAACTATTTTAATGATATGTCAGCTACAAATCTAAAGAACAGGACACTTTTACTCAAGTGCTGTACGTATATATGACAGAACACACTAGATATTAATTCTTTAGAATCAGATAAGCGCCACGCTATTGATTTGGATAACTATCAGCTACGAATATTCAGTTTCTGCTTGACTCTAGTACTTCACTAGTACCTTATCTTTTCTCGAGGTATTAACTGACCATAAGATACTAAACACAACGCGAGATACAATATTATAGACCTCGCGGATGATTCCCCCACGAGGATCTTATAAACTAGACATATTATGATTCATTCGACAGCCTAGAACAGCTTCCTCGAATACTTACATCAGTGCAACACCCTTGGAAGCACCAATACGAGTGGCACCAGCACCAACAAGATCATCCATCTCCTGCTTGGTGTGGATACCACCAGCGGCCTTCACGCCGCACTTGGAACCAACAGTCTCACGCATAAGCTTCACATGGTGAACAGTAGCACCATATTTGCTGAAGCCCGTACTGGTCTTCACGAAGTCGGCACCAGCAGCAACGCAAACCTTGCAAGCCTTGACAACTTCCTCGTCAGTCAAAAGGCAGCACTCAAGGATAACCTTCACGACAACACCATCGGTTTCGGTGTTGGCCTTCTGGTTAGCCAAATAAGCGCGGACAGAATGGACAACGCTGTAGACATCATCCTCAACCTTATCCCAAGAGTCGCTCTTGATGTAGCCAATGTTAATGACCATATCAACCTCCTTAGCGCCGTCCTTGACAGCCTGGACAGCCTCGAGAGATTTAGCAGCAGTCGAAGTAGCACCAAGAGG